AGGAAAAAGGATTGTACCCATCCTTACAAGTGCAGCCACCACATGCTGTCAAGCTTTTAAAAGTTCAATCTTTAAATTTGTTTCAGTTGTTTGCTGCTGCCTGATTTATAAATTGCCAATTACCTTTCTGAAGAATTGCTGTTAAGTGTTCACCAAGAAGTTGTTTTTCTACAGTGGCGATTAATGACTTCCTATAAAGAAGAAAAAAAAAAAAGGAGTTTAGAATTACCGAGGTTTGACTTTTCTGAAATTTTAAAGCCTCTTCTGGGTGAGAAAATCAAATAGTGCATTTTATGTTCATTTTAATATTCTATCCTATGTATAAACTTATTGGTGATCAGCATTACTCTATGCCTAAAAGAAGGAAAATACTGCGTATTTCAAAACTTGATTTACACTATGAAATAAACTAGAGGCCTAATGATAGGATTCCTGCACATTGAAAAGAAATTAATTAGAAAGTGGCTAGTGGGGCCGGGACCGGTTTAGCTCAATGGATAGAGCGTCGGCTTGGGGACTGAAAGGACCTGGGTTCGATTCCGGTCAAGGGCATGTACCTTGGTTGCGGGCATATCCCCAGTAGGGGGTGTGCAAGAGGCAACTGATCGATGACTCTCTCTCATCGATGTTTCTAACTCTCTATCTCTCTCCCTTCCTCTCTGTACAAAATCAATAAAATATATTAAAAAAAAAAAAAAAAAAAAAAAAAAAAAAAAAAAGAAAGTGGATAGTGGGATTGGACTGGGTAAGACAGGCCCGACACACCCTGGAGCCAATCTCCTGTGGTCCTTCCCTGGCCACTGCACCCAGCTGGCACTGGAGCTCAACGGGGGTCCACAGAGTGATCAGGGTCCCTCCCGCAGGTGGGTCCCCTGCCTGGCCTGCAGGGATCAGGCCGAATCCAGCAGTCCAACATCCCCCAAGGGGTCCTGGAGAGCAAGAGGGCACTCTGCAAAGTTGCTGTTGCTTGGCAGCTCCTGAGTTGAGCATCTGCCCCCTGGTAGTCAGTGCACATCGTACCTACCAGCTGGTCAGTTGGTCACTTAGCTTTTTATATATACACTAGAGGTCCAGTGCATGAAATTCATGCACTGGGGGGGAGGGCTGTGTCCCTCGGCCCAGCCTGCACTCTCTCCAATCTGGGACCCCTCAGTCCTTTCACAATCCAGGACTGCTGGCTCCCAACCGCTCGCCTGCCTGCCCAATTACCCCTAACCGCTTCTGCCTGCCAGCCAGATCACCCCTAACTGCTCCCCTGCCAGCCTGATCAACACCTAACTGCTCCACTGCTGGCCGATTGCCCCCAACTGCCCTCCCCTGCAGGTCTAGTTGCCCTTAACTGCCCTCTCCTGCAGGCCTGATCACCCACAAGTTCCCTCCACTGCCAGCCATCTTGTGGCAGCCATCTTGTGAAGATATGGGCGTGGCCATTTTGTGACCACATGGGGACAGCCATCTTGTGCAAGGGTGTGACAATCAATTTGCATATTACCTCTTTATTAAATAATAGAGGCCCAGTGCACAAAATTTGTGCACTCAGTGGGATGGGGGCCCCTCAGCCCGGACTGCACCCCCTCAGTCTGGGCACCTTTGGGGGGTGTCTGACTAAGCCATCAGCCAGACATCCTTAGCACTGCCATGGAGGCAGGAGAGGCTCCCACTACTGCCACTGCACTTGACAGCTGTGAGCCTGGCTCAGGGCTTCTGGCTGAGTGGTGCTCCTCCTGTGGGAGCAAGCTGACCACCAGGGGGCAGCTCCTGCATTAAGCGCCTACCCACTCTGGTGGTCAGTGCACATCACAGCAACTGGCCATTCCACCGTTCGGTTGATTTGCATATTAGGCTTTTATTATATAGGATAATGATTATGTAGAATAAATATTTCCAAGGTCTTGCTATGGCTGCCTTTTTCAGGTTTTTCTGCTTTTATTAGGAAGGTAAAGAAATTATTGATGCTGCTTACTGGAACTCCTTATTTTGGTAATATATAGGGGAGCACAGAAACAGTTTCTACTATTCACACCTACTAAATTTATTTGTCCCAAAGATTTCAAAGATAACCTGCTTCTAGCATTATTTTTAAATTATATCCTAAACACATACAACCAATAATCATATCCTTAACCTTAATCAAATAACAACTTAAAGATTATATTATAAAAACAATTGTTAAGCAATCTCAAGTCACATCTGAATATAGTTACTAATATACTGAGGGATGCCTAAAGTGCCTTAAGCCAGCGTTTTTCAACCGCTGTTCCGCGGCACACTAGTGTGCCGCGAGATGTTGCCTGGTGTGCCGTAGGTGCAGACAAGACAAGAATTTTATAATTTTTCACTATTTTGTTTACTTAATATTTCATAATAAAGTAATTATAAAATACTTTCTTTGTGTTTATTTGATTCCTATTCAAGAGAATTACTTTATATATAGTCAATATAGGCACAGAGTTAAATTTTTTAACATTTTCTAATGGTGGTGTGCCTCGTGATTTTTTTCATGAAACAAGTGTGCCTTTGCCCAAAAAAGGTTGAAAAACACTGCCTTAAGCAATTCCACAACAAAGGTTAAGGCTATTAGGCAGAGCTTGTCATACTTACTGGGTCGTCTGATCTAAGTAAGTAATAAGTCTGTCTGCTTCTTCTTCTAGACGTTTGTTAACATGATGAAGATATTCAGGAACCTACAAAGATAGTTTTTTATATTATTGTTTTCCTCCCCATAAATCATTCAGAAAATGTCAAGTCCAAAAGATCCTGGAAGCAGCCCTGCCAAATGTGGCAGGGTTGAATCATATGTAAAATTATAGGTAGAGTTTATGATCCAGAATTCTGGCCTTTAAGAAGAGAGAAAAGAAAGGAGCACCTAAGTGAGAGAAAAGCATCACAATGTTGGGAAGATAAATGCAAAGGGCAGCTTATGTTCTATAAGTAAGGTCTATTTTGAATACAGTGGATTTAGTAATCATGACTTTTAAATACCTCTCTTTCCTGCATTAATTTTTGGCCTTCAGCTGCATAAAGCCGGTTAGTTTCTTCCAAAAATCGTTGTTCAAAAGAATCCTGGTAAATCTGGGAGAAACAAAATACAGGAGTTTATTTATTCATTAACTACTTATTGGAAGTTCTTTATGTAAACAGCATTATTTGGTTTTTACACATCAAACTAGGGATAAGCATCAGCTCTGTATTAAGTAAAGTAGTTAACTTACTTGCAAGTCAGAGAGCATGCTTAAAAGGCTTCGGAGTAAACTTCTATCAATTGCTTCACCATTCCTTTCCCTCTCAATCAACAGAAGAATGCCATCAATTGTCTTAGTCTGGACTTTTTGATCACTTATAATATGAGCCCTAAATAACTCCAGTCCCATGTCCCTAAAATAAAAATATAATCTAAATTAATTGACAGCGACACCACTTCTGGAGAGACAAATATGTTAATTAGGACTTCAGACTTTGAAACAGCCATTGTAAAAGGATAAAATCCACACATTTAATCTATATATAAAAAAGTCTAATATGCAAAGTGTCCCCTTGGGAGTTCGACCAACCAGGAGTTTGCTTGCTCGCTATGATATGTGACCACCAGGGGGTGGTGCAGAATGAAGGCAGGCCCCCAGCCAGTGACCAGCAGCCAGGGAAGGAAGGCCCCAGCTGGCAGCTGGCAGCCACTAGGGACTCTACCTGTGCACAAATTTCTTGCACTGGGCCTCTAGTTTCAAATATTATTATTAAACTAAAGCACATGTGTCAAACACAAGGCCCGCGGGCCAAATCCGTCCCGCCAGGCCTTGCAATGTGGCCCGCACTGCGCTGTCATCACTGCACTCCGCTGCGTTTCCATCACAATGACAGTTTATGACTGTTCAGTAAACCATTCGGCCCGCGATTTAGGCTGGATTTTAGATTTTGGCCCCTTCTCTGATTGAGTTCGACACCCCTAAACTAAAGTATACAGGAAACTCATTTTGTCTCTAATGAGAAATAAGGCTAAACTCCTATCTTCCTCTAGAACTAAGTTTTATTATATTATCTCCTTTGGTGGATTTCTTCCTTGGTCAAATTAAAGAGACAAAATTAGTTCAAGTTATAAAATGGTTTTCACTGTACTGTTAATGAAGGCTTAATTGGTCATTCGTCATCTGGCTTTAGTATTCAAAAATCAGCAACTCTGATAATTGCTATAGGTAGATGCTAGATACACATGGTGGGGGAAGAGCTCATTACACTATTCTATTTTCCTGTATAGAAGGAATTTTCCTGTATAGATGAATTTTCCATAAAATTGTTAAAAGATAATGAGCATCCCTGGATAAATGGATGGAGAAGTCAGCCCTCAGACTGAAGGATTGTGGGTTCGATTCTGGTCAAGGGCATGTACTCAGTTGCAGGCCCCAAGCAACCAATCAATGTGTCTCTCTTATATCCATGTTTCTCTCTGTCTCTCCTCATCCTTTTCACCTTCTCTAAAAATCAATGGAAAGCCGAAACTGGTTTGGCTCAGTGGATAGAGCATTAGCCTGCGGACTGAAAGGTCCCGGGTTCAATTCCGGGCAAGGGCATGTACCTTGGTTGCGGGCATATCCCCAGTAGGGGGTGTGCAGGAGGCAGATGATTGATGTCTCTCTCTCATAGATGTTTCTAACTCTCTATCCCTCTCTCTTCCTCTCTGTAAAGAATAAAAATAATAATAATAAAATAAAAATCAATGGAAAAATATCCTCGGGTGAGGATTAACCACAACAAAAAGATAACAAGCAAATTCTTGATCAACAACAAAATAATACACATTTATAGATAGTTCAGAGCGAACTTTTAATTCCCGTAGAAAAACTTTGTAAATTATTATAGGCTCAGTGAATGTTAGCTATCTCTAATATTAGCATAAAACATAATTAAGAAGGTAAAACTGCCATATATAGGTTTTTAGAACCCAAATGTGAGGTTTTAAGAGAATATTCACAATATTACTTAGTCTCTCCAATTAGTATAATTAAGATTTAAAAATGATTTTTAACAAATCTTTTCAAATTTTTTTTCTAACATCCTTACCAAATGGAGGGTAGCATTGAATTCTGAAGAACATAAGTTCTATCCAGAAACAAAAAAATGCTCCTGATCATGATCTGTCAATAAAAAAAAGAAAAAGAAATCAAGCAATTTTTATATTCTGTGAGGCTGAAATATTTGCTCAATAAAGAATAAAATTGTATCATTTGCTTGAATATATACTAGACTACTAGGATAAAACATACAGATGAACAGATATACCACAGAATATGGCCATACAATTTTTATTAAACTACTCTATTATCTTTATCCTTCTGTAGTTCTCAGAAAAGGGTCACTCAAAATGATCCTATGACTTCTTTGCAACTTGAAAAGTAACTGAGGTCCTGGTGGGGTAGCTCAGTTGGTCAGAGCATCATCCCAATATATTATTACTAAAGTTGCAGGTCTGATGCCTGGTCTGGACACATACAAGAATCAACCAATAAGTAGAACAACAAATATAAAATATATATTTCTCCATCCCTTCCTCTAGTTCTAAAATCAATAAATTTTTTTAAAGTAACTGAAAATAAAAAACAGAATCAAGCCCCGGACAGTGTGGTTCAATGCTTAAGAGTATTGGCCTAGGCACTAAAGAGTTGCAGGTTTGATTTCTGGTCAGGGCACATACCCAGGTTATGGGTTCGATCTCCAATAGAGGTATGCACAGGAGGCAATCAATCAATGTTTCTCTCTCACATCAATGTTTCTCTCTCAAATCAATGAACATTTAAAAAAATTAAATGCTTCCTTACCTATAACTTGCATTTTCAAAACAGAAAACAAAACCAAAATTAGTTTCCAATTCAGAACAACAGATATGGAGGCAGGCCCTTACTGCATAGCTTTTAAAACTAACATTCCTGTATTTGAAGAAATTTATTTTTTAACTATAACATTTAGCTGAAATGTAATACCTTTTCCAGCTTACCATTTGTCTACAGTGGTTCTGCCAGCATCTATCAATTTTCTTTAGAAAAAGAACACTATCCAATGAGTCCGTGAGATGTTCGTCAAGGATATTTTAAAGTGCTTAATACAAGTGGCATGTGCAAAGTAAGAGCACATTTGTCTTCAATTTGGAATACCTTACATACTAATGAAACTAATAGTACTTATAGAACAAAATGCCATTTCTTAAACTGTAAAAATATTATATCTCACTAAAAATACCTAAAAAACAAGTCATGACCTAGCTGGGTTGTCACAGTGGATAGAGTGTCGGCCTACAGACTGAAGGGTCCCAGGTTCGATTCTGGTCAAGGGCACATGCCTGGGTTGCTGGCTTGATCGCCAATAGGGGGCATGCAGGAGGCAGCCGATCAATGATTCTATCATTGATGTTTATCTCTCTCCCTTCTTCTCTGAAATCAACAAAAATATATTAAAAAAAACAACAACACATAATTGAGCATTGTGTTTCCAGTTTATGATTTCCTTAAATTATCTTTCTTCAAATGGAAATTTGTTAGGGCAAAGAAAGGGTAAAGATGCAAGAACATCTTATTTACATTAATACCACATAGTAGACTTACATCCTAATTAAAGCTAAAAAAAATTCTTCTTTCTCTAGAAGCAAAATACACAAAATTAAATCTATAAAACACAGCTACAGTGAAACCTCAGTTCTCAAACTAACTTTGTTCCAGAAGGCTGTTCAAGAAGCAATTTGTTCGTAAATACGTTCTTTTTTTTCCATTAGAAATCATGTAAATTGAATTAATCCATTCCAGACCCCCCAAATGATTCTGTTTTAACCTTTCTTATATAAAGTACATGTCTCATACTGTTTAATCTATAAATGAACAATTCTTTCCTTAAATTTATTGAACCAGACCCTACTATCCTTAAAGGAATCACTTTCAGCTCTTGTTCTTTAGGTGTCTTTAAGATCAACATGCAGCAACTTTGTTTTTTCACATTATCACTGTCTCTGAAATGCTGTCACTGGCTAACTGCTTTTCCCTTATCCAAATCAACAACAGTTTTTCTACCTCTCCAATTGCCCATGATCATTTTTTGTTTCACACCCTTAGCAACATTAGCATTCTCGATGGCCTCTTTGTTTTAAACTTGTACTAATTGTGGGATTTCACCAGCAACAAAAGCATTCTCTCCTTTGTACAAGCATGAAAGGGTTGTCAGGTCAAAAATCAAAAAAGTTGGTTCAACAACGAAGATATTATTTTTGTAAACAACTTGGTTGAAAACTGAATTATTCAAGGTGGGAGACATTGGAGAAATGAGGTTTGACTGTATTCCATTTCAAGCTGGATTAAATAGCGAGGAATAGGAAGAGAGTAAATGATAAAAAATACAAGATGTTTTGCTTTTAAAAGGATATTCTCTGAACTGATGAATTTGTGCTTTGATGTGATCTTCACAAATCTGTCTCAGCTGTTTGTACAAGTTTGCAGAAATCTTGTAAGAACAGAGATTTTCTACAGCCTGCAAGATTAAACACACACATGCTTAAGGGAAGAACGGAGTGGGGAGTGTTCTCAATTATTTACATATATTTTTATTATTTTGGTATTTCTACCATGTAAGCTTATTAAAAAGGGTTGAACATCCATTTAAAACACAAAATAAAACAACAATGTACTAACAATGTGGGTGGTAAACTTTTTCATAACCAATGTACTATAATTTATTGATTATGGCTGTAAAGGTCTTAAGGATGGGGGTAATCAAGCCAAGCCCCTCTCTCCCATGTAAAGGTGAAGACATTCAATTTATAATAACTGCTACATATAAATGCTGTCTTGTTTAAAATGCCCATTGTTTAAAAAATAAATAAATAAATAAATAAAATAAAATGCTCATTGTTGTCATAAGCAAAAGTCCATTTTGAGCCTAAAAAACAATTTCACCAATTTTTCATCGTTAAGGTTGGGCATTCTGACCACCACTGAATAAAATTTTATTTAATAATTTGGTTCTCGCCCTAACCGGTTTGGCTCAGTAGATAGAGCGTCAGCCTGCAGACTGAAAGGTCCCAGGTTAGATTCCTGTCAAGGGCATGTACCTTGGTTGCGGGTACATCCACTGTAGGAGGTGTGCAGGAGGCTGCTGATTGATGTTTCTCTTCCATCAATGTTTCTAACTCTCTATCCCTCTACCTTCCTCTCTGTAAAAACTCAATAAAATATATATATTTTTAAAAATAATAATTTGGCTGAAACCGGTTTGACTCAATGCACAGAGCGTCGGCTTGGGGACTGACGGGTCCCGGGTTCGATTCCAGTCAAGGGCATGTACCTTGGTTGCGGGCATATCCCCAGTAGGGGGTGTGCAAGAGGCAGCTGATTGATGACTTTGTCTCATCAATGTTTCTAACTCTCTATCTCTCTCCCTTCCTCTCTGTACAAAATCAATAAAATATATTTTTTTAAAAATAGGCGGAACCGGTTTGGCTCAGTGGACAGAGCATCGGCCTGCGGACTGAAAGATCCTGGGTTCAATTCCCGTCAGGGGCATGTACCTTGGTTGCAGGCACCTCCCCAGTAGGGGGTGTGCAGGAGGCAACTGATCGATGATTCTCTCTCATCGATGTTTCTCTCTATCCCTCTCTCTTCCTCTCTGTAAAAAATCAATAAAAATATATTTTAAAAAATAATAATAATTTGATTCTCATGAACAGAATGCAGAAATTACTTCTAGCAGTATTTTAAGTATGATGTAATTAACCACTAAGAATTTTTCTCCGTTTCAGTTTTAAAATATTTAAATATAGGTTTCAAAATTTGAACTGAATAAACATTAATTATAAAAGAAATGACTGTATTTTTACTTCATTCTAATAGTTGAATTGGTCTTCTTTTATACTCAGCTCCTAAAAAGGACAAACTTCAGATTTCAATGAGTTTCTTGTTATGTATATCAAAAGACTTTCAAATTTAAAACAACAGCCTGGGTAAAACTCTTTGGATGAGCTCCGATATAATCTATAATTCCAACTAGTTATGACTTTAGTATAATATCAGGATTCCTGTCTTACTATAACAGAAGGCAAAAATTCATTAAAACTGACTCTAAAGAAGCATCCAAGTTTTGTTGGTTGAAGAGGAATTTATAAATATGTAGTTGTTAGTCATATTGCCAGTATGCAGGTCCAATAAATGAATTAGCAAATGAAAAGAAAGCTTAAAGGATACCATTATACCATTGGAGGAAAGGAGTCACAACTCACCAGAAAACAGCAGTCCAATTAGATCCAGCAGCTAAGGAGGAATAAGAAGGCCACTTTCCTAGGGTTAGGCCTCAAATGTCTAAAAGGTGTCTTTATATTTATTCATGTGCCTTTCTGTTCATATTGGTCCTCTATGGACTCTCCCCTTCCTCCTTTAGGATTCTTCTCATTGTATCAAGGTGATCCTTTTGAGGGACTCATTTTCTCAGCATTTCTCATTTTTCTGCTTAGATTCTGTCTTTCTACTTCATCTTATCCACATTTCCCACCCACTTCCAGTACTTCTCCAAGTCCTATTTCTCCATTCCCTTCTGCTGTATTCCTCCTTCTCCCATATTGTAGTCCTCAACACATCTATCTTCTCACACAAGACACCATATTCTCTCACTACTCAACTAGTCCTCCTTCTCCCAATAAAGCTTTCCTTAATTGCCTCAGCAACTAGTGACACACCTGGCATACCACACTGATGTCACTGAGTCAATACCACATGTCTTCATGTGTATATCATGTCTCCATATTCTCCTTAATGACAGAAAGAGACCATGTGTTCAAGTCTCTACTGATATGCGTTTGTTAATACTTTTGGGGCTTTGAACCAGGTGAACATAGTAAACACAAAAAACAAACACAAAAACAAACACACACACACACACAAAAACAAACAAACAAAAACACTAACATATCTCTAACTAGCAATGTGTGTGCACATAGAAGAAGCTTTTATGGTGTAAGCAGAAAACTGGCCAGAAAACATACAATTATAGCCGAAACCGGTTTGGCTCAGTGGTAGAGCATTGGTCTGCAGATTGAAAGGTCCCAGGTTCGATTCCGGTCAGGGGCATGTACATTGGTTGCAGGCACATCCCCGGTAGGGAGTGTGCAAGAGGCAGCTGGTCAATGTTTCTCTCTCATCGATGTTTCTAGCTCTCTATCTCTCTCCCTTACTCTCTGTAAAAAAATCAATATATTAAAAAACAAAACAAAAAAACACATACACTATTTATAATACACTAATTATAATACACTATGATAGATGCTGTGATAGGGATAAACATAGAGGTGCGACCCCTAATCCAGTCTTTGGGCAGAGACAAGTCAGGAAAGATTTCTTGAGCAGAGGTAAAGAGGTAGAGTCCAAAAAGACCCAGAGGGAAATGGATAGAGAGCTAGTGGGAAAAGTGAGAAATAGAGAAGTAATCTGGGCTTTAAATGCAAATAGCCTCATCTGTGTTTAGACGGTTTAAGATGTTAGAGGCAAGAAAAGCAGGATGGATACAGTTCTTGGAAGATGGTAAATGCCTGTATTTGCCACCTCCCACAACCACATCAAAATTACAACTAAAATGCAGAACCACCATCATCCAGAACTGCTGGAAAGCTGGTTGAATGAAAGTCCTACAACTGGGAACAGGGAAGATGGCAGCCAACAGACAGCAATGAGCAAGATAGTGAGTGAAAGATCAAAAGGAGAGTGCGTGGATGTGTGGGAACTGTGTGTATTTGTGAGTGAGAGACAGTTATATTCCACAGGCTTGTCGGGTACTGGTGGACCAGACTCCCTTGGCCAGGCAGCCTCTACTACCGCTGCAATCTCTCCCAGAGCAGCTGGCCCTGCCACAGAGAACTTGCCATCTTGAAGGGGAGACCGGCTGTGATTGAAAGCCCAGCCTTACCTTCACTCAGGGAGACCTCGGATACCACCTGGGACCCTACAGCCACAACGCCCAGGGACCACCTGCCTCAGCTGTGAACCTACCAACACCAAGACTCCAGCCTACCTGGCTGCAGGAGCCTAAAACGTTTGTCCAGGTCGAGACAAGGTAGCAGCCGAATAGACAGACAGGTCCTGCGCCTTCTCACAGAGCAGATAGAAGAAACAACTGAATTGAATAACCACCACCCAGAATTGGAGAATGAAACACAGCTAGTGAGGCAATCCACTGAAGGAAAGGTCAGAGACTGCGTGGAGAGAGGTGAGATCAGGGATCTGGGCTGGAGGGAGAAATGTGTGCAGCCAGAACTAGAGTCTTAGAGGGAGACTGTGCTGCAACAAATCCCTGCCTCTTGGGATCAGTGTAGTCCTCAAATGTAGAAGGGGGTCCACAGGGTTGCTAGCAATGGGGGACTCTAGATCTAAGACCACAGTCAAGGGAAACTGTACTCAGAAAGGCAGCCTGAAATTCTATACCAGTTGCACAGTGCTGAGGGAGAAAGACGCAAGGCAGTGTGGTTGCTCTATCTTTATAACTTCCTTGCTTTTACTTGCTAAACCCAGTGCATAGGATCTTTGGATTAAAACACTCACTGGAAGAAAAAAAAAGTAAAAAAAAAGTAAATAATTTTTTAAAAAACAAACAAACAAAAAAACACTCATCGAGACTGCAGGCGAAAGTAGTTTTTGAGGAAACTGGGGAGCAGAAGAGGGAGAGACGAGCAGGAAGCCAGCTCTGGGACAGTCCATCCCTCAATCCTGAGCATTTTCTCCTAAAGACCTTACCTTCTAGCAGTGCAGGCACACCAAGTCTTGAGCACTACAGGGCAAGGAAGATTCTAAATACCCACAGGGAGCCCTGGGAGACTGGGTTAAGGGGCCATTTGATCCCAGAAAACTAATACAGAAACACGGCCACCTAGGGGTCATGTTGGAAATAGACGCTTGTATAAATACAACTGAAAGCAGGCAGAAAAACAAAGCAGGCAGATGATTCTGTATGCTTGAAACAGATCATGGCAGAGGAGCAATGGATCACTGGGAACTTCCAACACTGTGGTGACTATCTGACAGAAAACGGAGATGTGGCAGGCAGAACAGTATAGAGGGGTGTTAAACCAGCCCCCATGAGACACTGAGGCTCCAATGAAGCTAACGAACTTCACTACTTCACTTTATTTGTTATCTTTTACTTAAATAAATTTTTTCACTTTATTTTTTATTATTATATTTTTATCTCACTTTTCCCATTTTCATCATGTTTCTTTTCTCCTGCTTTAGTTTTTCTCTATTCTTCCTTTTTATTCTGCTAAAAAATTTATCTACTTTATTGACTATATGTATGTATTACTATTAGTCTGTTGGCCTACTAATACATCTAATTTCCTCTCCCCTGCTCCAAGTCCATGTACACTTCTCTTTTCTCTTTCTTTACTAGACAATTTTTTTTTCTTTCTTCTTGTTGTTTGTATTTTTTTTTAAATATATATTTTATTGATTTTTTACAGAGAGGAAGGGAGTGAGATAGAGAGCCAGAAATGT